TGCCCCAAGAACCATAAGTGGGAGGTGAAGCAGTGTGCTCTGCAGATGCCTTCCCTCAGACACTAAACTATCTTACTGTGTAGCTGATACTCAGCCCAAGAACATAGTTGGGAAGAGAGTAGATGAGAGTAGAGTGGGAATGGCTGTTAGTGGGTATGACTAGAAGTGACTGTGGGATCAAGTATGACATCAGAACAGAGACAGAGCTCTCACATACTTGGGCCTGTGTCCCATGTTCCCCTCACTTTCCCCACTAGATCTGGTCTTTGGGCATTGTACCTGGACTCTCTGAACCTCTGTTACCTCATCTGCTGTAGCAGAAGCATCTCATATATGTTGCATCGATCAAATGAGATAAGGCAGGCAGAGTGTCTGGATCCTGACAAAGTTCAGATAAACATTGCCTTGCATTCTGAATTCCTTCAGACAGCAAAGCTTTGGTTTCCTTTAGGAGACTAACAAATAAGCTATCAGACAGTGGGACTTCTCTTCCCTCTTTCTGAGCTTGTTATCTCACATAGCTGGTTTGTGTGGTCTGGGGCCATCAAGGAGACCTGGGAGTGGTAAAGGTTCAGAGCCACTGAGCCAGTTCTCCTCTTTGACAATGAGCAGATGGGTTATGTGTGATGATGCATTCTTGCAACTCTGACATTAGGGAATTGGAAGTAGGAGGATCAGAAGTTCAAGGTGATCCTTAGCTATATAGCAAGTCTATAGCCAGCCTGGACTAGTTGAGATATTGTCTCAAAAAGCCATATATTTATGATCAATTGAACCAGAGACTCTGTGGCCTGATGGAATGACAGAATATACAGTTGGTTCTGTTTGCCCAGTGTGAGGGCTGGCCAGCGCATACACTTGGGAAGAGATCACCAGTCTGGCATGTTAGTTGTAATAGAGAGAGTACTAGACAGTGGACTAGTCCCTGGTCAGCATTCCAGGATCTAGTCTGCCACTCTGAGTCATATGTCCTTCTGCAAATAATGAATGCCTTCTCTAGGGTCTTAGTGTCCTAATCTAGATGATGAGACCATCTGTGGTTGGCCTCCGGTATACTCCAGTGCTACTGTGATGATTTTAAATATCAGTTGAATAAATGCTGTGAAAATGGAATCCTGGGCCCAATTGGGGAGGCTGGCAGGCTGACTGGATAAGCCAGGTTGTGGAAGTCATCATCTCAACAGGCCTTACATTTTGTGCCTGTCATGGGACTGGTACACCCATCTGTGTCTCCTACCTTCCTGAAGCTTCACTTTCTGCTGCAGAGACACAATTCTGCAGGGCCTCTAGCCTCAGTCCATAGGCATTTTCCCAGACACATCTTCCCCATGGAATGTACAGAATCAGGTCCCCTCTCTCTTTAACTTGTGTGAATCCAGAATCTCCTGGTTCCTTACCCAAATGACCACCAATATATCTATTCTTTGTATCCATAGAATTTCTACTGAAAATTTCCTTGGTACACTGGTGCTATTCTGGTTCTTGTTATAACATTTTATCACTCTCTAAAGGCAGTGGTGGAAGAGACCACCTCTGTCAGCAGTGTGTATGTGTGTGTGTGATAGAGAACACTGCAATGGGGAGAATGTTGGGGGTTATCCCTAATTGGTGTGGATCTCTAATTCATCTGAGTCTGTCAACTGATGTGACTGAAAGTGACCTTGAGAAAACCATTGCCTGTTCTGGAAGCATTCTTTCACTTCAGGATGGACACACTGGAGAGTTCCTACAAGGACTGACAAAGACACGTGCGTTCCTCTGCCTCTGTGGAGTCCTGTTGCTGAGCCTCCCTGGGGGCACAGTCACAGCATTTTATGAGTCATGTTAGTGCTGTCATCAACATTCCAACACTGCTGACTTCCCTCTGGCTTGAAAGTGCATGCTCCAAAGAGCCACAGTGTGGTTCCCTGGCAGTCATGCTCCAGACCTTGCACACTCTGGTTGAGTGGGCTGGATTCTTAGATTCTCTTCTGGAGGGTCAGCAGAAGCTAGCATCAAGTTCCACACAGGGCTGTGCTCTGCGACTACAACCTCATTATCAGTGCGTAAGGCTATGCTAGATCTGAACTCAGTGAAGACTGCCCTGGATAAAGCCAACAAGACTGAGGACCTGGTCGCTATGGAGATCAGCCCTCCAACAATCCCACTGCGAGGAGGAAATTTTGTTTAAACAAGCAGAAAAAAATGAGCTTCGGTTCATCAGCAAACTGAGTTATAATATTCTGAATTTCTATTCTAGCATTTTAACCTTTTAGTGTTGCCCTTAGGAATTCAGAGAGCAAATGATCTTCAATATGCTGTGTGGGAGGGGGATGAGTGGGTGGGAGGAAGGGGGAAGGTTGGGAGGGAAGGAAGGAGGGGGAAAGAGAATACTGATTTCTTACTGTTGGCCCCAGTTATCTGGTTACCAGCATCATTCTGATGCTGAGAAGTAGGGGTTCTTTTACATTATAGACCAAAAGCATCTCACTGAGAAGGTAACTGAGGAACTCTGAAGTACATAGCAAAAGCCCACCCATGTAGATAATTCTGTTTGCTGTCCTCATCTTTGAGATACCAGCAGTAGTTAACTCTTCATCTCTATCATTCTTGCAAGGATTAAATCAAGTGTGGTGTTTGGAAAGGCTTTGGCAACTCATGTGCTATGAATATATTAGCTAATATTTAATGTTTTACTATCTGTGCCCCTGACAAACACGGGTACTCCTGTGAGACCAGAGCATCAGGCCACTGATGGAGGTTGTATCCTGGGCAGGGTTAGGCATCAGCTATCTATCCTGATCACTTCTGGTCATCATTTGTAGAGTTAGTAAACAGGCAGAATCTCAGAGTTCCTGACTTTGAAACCCTGATAGGAGGTGACCCAGGGATCTGAATCTTTAACCAGAACATAAGGTGGTTATATAGAACACTGTAATGTAAGGTCTAAGGATCCACTGGTGTGTCCCAAAATACACTGGCTTACTCCAGAAGTAATCCTGAAGACCTGTCTCATCCCAGGGGTGGTTTATCAAGGCAGCCTGTGGAAACAGAAAGACACACAGGTGGATAGCCCACTGTATTGTCACCAACAAAGCAGGAAATGAAGAACAATGGCCAACCTGAATTCTGTAGGACACATGAAGAGACCAAAGACTGAGAAGATTGTATTCCTTGAGAAGCAAAGCCACACAGTATCAATACAGCTCTGAAAAACAGGTAAAGAAGTGGATTCAGGAAAGCTGGGTGCTTTGCCCTGGGTCCTGTGAAGTCAGTGGGTGGGTGGTATGCTGGTAAATGCTTAACCACAGGCTCAGACGATGGGGGCCCTGAGCTGTGGCGTTTGCATGTTTCTATGGTGTAAATGCCTCTAGCATATTAGGTTACAACTACTAGTGTGCTGCCTCTGAAGGGAGCTTCAGAAGAGTTCCCAGGGCAACCTTGAGAGCTGGTAAGAAGCGGCCCCAGCAATCTACTATACAGTTGTCATTTGCTGCAATGACTGTTAATGATCATCTGTTAGGGTGCAAAGGAGAGAGGGCATTGTTTTTCTTGCTTTCCCAGAGCTTTATGTGAGCCCCCTCCATAGTTGAAGCTACACAAGGGGAGATAATTAGTGTGGTGGGGGAGACAAATCCCTCCCTTAGGGAAACTATCTATGCTTGGCTTCTTTTAGACAGGTCTGGCCATGTGTAGTCACCATTGACCATAACACCAGGACCTGAGATACAGTGTAGATAGTCACTGGAGGAAGGAGCATCTCATAGAAAGGGAAGAGGCTGAAGAAGCTCCAGAAGTTGTCACCTGTCTGTCCACCAAGCACTTTTGAAACTCTAGAGTCTAGACTGGGGACAGGAAAGCCACAGTCTCCACATGTTTACCCCAAGGGAGGCTGAGACCCTTTATGTCCCAAGTTCCCATGACCTGGATCAAATCATGCCACCCACTATCCTCCCATTTTCTGGACAGTTCACCCACATGCCTATACTAAGCCTAACTTATTGTCTCACCAGAAATAACTTACTGTCTCACCAGATACAGAACAGACAGCAGCTGGCACAGGACACCACATGTGCCCATACCAGCCACACCAGGGCTTCTTCTGATGGCTATGGACAGATAATGTTCTCCTGACTAAAGGCATGCCCTAGGGATGTCCCAGGGAGCCTCAAGTGTCCTTCCACCAGGTACTGAATGACCAGAGTTATAGGATGAAACCCCGGAGACTCAGTGCTCAGTAGTGCAGCAGCTGCCTGTGGACAGATGGGAAGAGATCTCAGGAGATATCCGATCCTAATGAAAGATAAAAGTGTGAATTCCATCCTAGCCCAGCAGAAGCTTATCCAAGCTCCCCAGTTCATCTAAGATAACAGCAGCAAGCCCAGATGCTGGGCAGCTATAGGACAGGTGGGCTGGATCAAGGTCTGGTCAGCTAGGCAGGACCAAGTGGCACTGAGGCACGAGGGTGCCCAGGCACCCTTCTCTTTCCTTATATTCTTTTGACTCAGCCTGTCTCCTGCTCATATAGGGGAAGATAAAGGGAAGTGGAGGAGGGGAGCCACAGGGAGCCAGTCACTCTGCAAGGGAGCCTGCAGAGCTCCTGCCTTCCAATTGTGTGTGAGAGAGAGAAGGGGAGGGGGATCAGTGGGACTTCCTTCTTAGAAGCAGCGTTTCCTGAGAGAAAGAAGAGAGAAAGAGAAAGGGAGGGAGGGTAAGCAAGAGGGAAGGAGAAAATTGGAGGTGGGAGAGACAGATGGGGGAGGGGGAGTAGAAAGTGAGAGCACACTGGAGACTGAGCAGAGAGGCAGAGAGAGGGAGACAGAGAGAAAGCCACAGTGCAGGAGGGTGTGCAGTGCAGAGCCAGAGCTTAGAGGGACCTGGTGAGGGCGGGTGCGGGCAGAGGCAAAGCCAGTGACCACAGGCGCCTGCAACCCAGGATTCCAGGGCACCACAGGAGTTCAGCGGCACACCTGGCGGGCGACTGGCCAAGAAGTGGTGCGGGGCTGGGGGTGACCGCTATCCCAGGTATTCGCCGGTGGTGAGGTGACCCAGAGTCCGAGTGGTTTTGCATCCAGGTGTTTGCTCGCCTGGGAGCGGGGCTCCGGGTTGCTGTGTCCCTAGGTGTTGGTCCAGGGGTGGTGCGGGGCTCTGGGTTGCTGGACGCCCTCCGGGTAGCCATGGCGACAGGAGCCAGGGGTCGCTGGGCCGCCGCGTCGCCAAGAGGCTGAGCCGGCAGCGGGCTGCGCCATGGCGGCGCGGGGTTGCGGGCCCTGAGCGCCAGCTGCGGGCGCGCATCATGAACTCGTGGGACGCGGGCCTGGCGGGGCTGCTGGTGGGCACGATCGGCGTGTCGCTGCTGTCCAACGGGCTGGTGCTGCTCTGCCTCCTGCACAGCGCTGATATCCGCCGTCAGGCGCCAGCGCTCTTCACCCTCAACCTCACGTGTGGCAACCTACTGTGCACTGTGGTCAACATGCCACTCACACTGGCCGGCGTCGTAGCACAGCGACAGCCTGCTGGGGACCGCCTGTGCCGCCTGGCTGCCTTCCTCGACACCTTCCTGGCTGCCAACTCAATGCTCAGCATGGCCGCACTCAGCATCGACCGCTGGGTGGCCGTGGTCTTCCCGCTAAGCTACCGTGCCAAGATGCGCCTCCGCGATGCTGCATTCATGGTGGCCTACACGTGGCTGCACGCGCTCACCTTCCCGGCCACCGCGCTGGCCCTGTCCTGGCTCGGCTTCCATCAGCTCTATGCCTCGTGTACGCTGTGCAGCCGGCGGCCCGAGGAGCGCCTGCGCTTTGCTGTCTTCACTAGCGCCTTCCATGCGCTCAGCTTCCTGCTCTCCTTCATCGTACTCTGCTTCACGTACCTCAAGGTGCTCAAAGTGGCCCGCTTCCACTGTAAGCGCATCGATGTGATCACCATGCAAACGCTTGTGCTGTTGGTGGACATCCACCCCAGGTGAGAGGCTTGATCCAGTGCTCTGGGGACACTAGTAAGTTGGGAATGTCCCAACATCTAGGGTAGGGCTGTGGGAGAATCCCCTTTCCACTTAACTACATTAAGCAAGGGTGGAATGGCAAGTGCTGTTTAAATGGTACCCAAAGCTTCACTTTCTGAAGCTCTGGACTGAAATCCCATCCAGAACATCCTCCTTATCCTTATACCCATCTTAGGCAGTGGGCTTTGTTCACTGTGCAAAGCTTGAAAAGGGTTTGGATATGGCCCTTGGAGGGGGCTCTAGAGGCTTAGATGACCCTTAGGAACTCTTCAAACTTAGGGTGTTACTCCTCCAGGTCCTTTCTATCCTGGATGTGATGCTATGTTGATCTCCTTTGTGTGTGTGTGTGTGTGTGTGTGTGTGTGTGTGTCTGTGTTTGTGTGTGTGTGTCTGTGTCCCCATCAAACAGAATCAATTGCACCTCTCCCTGTGGTGGGTCCTGAGGGCCTGGTCTTGTCTTGCCTCTCTAGAGCACTCTGTCCCATGTCTTCTGGACTTGGAGCCTCAAGGTCCCTTCAAGAATTTTTACCTCAGTCTCCTGAAACTAAGCCTGTCCTGTCCACCTACCTTCATCCTCTTGGCCCATTATTTCTCAGTAGAGGATGGAAGGAGGCAAATGAAAAGACAGCTGGGAAACTGTGGTCCTTAATATCCCTTTGGAAGAGAAGGAGAAAACTGTCAATCAAGCTGTCCTGAGTTCACCTTATCTTTCCTTGAGACTAAGGACATTAAGAGGTAGGGTGCCTCTGTGGCCTATGCCAGTTTATATACATTAAAAGCCACCTCTGTCTCTGCTGCTTGGGACTCTAGGTAAGAGCTTAGGAATCCACTTGGTACAGAAAATACAGCACACAGAGAGCACTGGTGATGGGAGTTTATGTTCTGTGTGTGTGAGCAGAGCCCCTGATTCAGGAAGCCTGGGGTAGGAAAGAGTGTAGATCCCAACGTGTATCTGCCCCACAGGGCACAGCAAACAGACAGAAGGTGTTCATCTGAGCAAAGGCTCCTTGTGGGGCTCCCTGCCTTGAGCACTAAGGAGATGATGGATTTCACCATGCCTGCACATTGGAAGGGCATGGCGGAGTGTATCTACCATCCAGCTCTGAACTATTGTTACAGATGACAAGCTGCTCTAGTTCTCTCTATATAAACTCTTCCCCACAGAAACTAACACAGAATGTGCTTGCATTGAGTTGCAGTTCAACTCAAGAGTCAATTCAGGAGCAAGTCTGAAGCCATGCTTGCAGAAACACTCCTTTTCATCACCCTCCACTTTAGAAAGGGCCATCCCCAGGACAGGGGCTAGGGCAGCTTGTGAGGATGCACGCAAATGTTAACTCTTGCAGACTTGACCTAGTCCTAGAAAGTCCACTCAACAAGCCTCCCAGTGGAGGGAAAGAGAAGTGGGCCCAGGGGAGGAGCCAGTTCTCTTAGAGGGAGGCAAAGCCCAACCCCTGCGCTTAATCCACAGGCATTCTATTTAGGGACAAGAGCTTCCACTGCTCCGGTCTCCCTGACTTTAGGTCAGAACTACAAAGAGTATGTAGGGGTCTCATAAGCAAAGATAGACATTGCTGGAATCCAGGCCTTTGTCAGCTCTGCAAAGAATACTGACCTCCTCTAAGCCTGCTTCTAGACTCTCTAGGGAGCTCCATAGGGTCACAGGGCCATGTGCTCCTTGGTTAACACAAGCTGTCATTTCCAGAGGTGTCAAGCAGGAGTGTGTGTGTGTGTGTGTGTGTGTGTGTGTGTGTGTGTGTGTGTGTAGGGGGGGGGTCTACAGAACACAACAGCCAGTCTCTGACAGCTGATCTGATGGCAGTCATTCTTTGGTGGCACAGTTGAGATGCTATGATCTTAGCTCTGAAGGCTGTGATGGTGTCTCGCCCCATTCAGGCTGCTCTGATGTTCTTTAGTGCCAAGCACCTATGCAGTCTTAGAATGTCAGTCTCAAGACAGTCTCTGGTTAGCTAAAGGAGCAAGAGGAGTCTTAGCTCACTGGAAGTCATCCCAGCTACCTCCACTTAACCCAGGATTTAGCTAAAAGAGACCTGCTTTGTATTGCCTGGAGCCCAGGTACCATTTATTAGGAAGTGATGGGAAGTAGCTGATTTTCCAGCAGGCTGAGGAGCAAGCTTTATCCCTTTGCTACAATCATTGCCTAAACAGCGGCAAGTCCCTCTTTTCTAAATCTGAAACCCAGGGTGGCATATCCTGTTTCTGTTGTTCTGTGGCCATTTCCCAAGTCACTACATTTACAAACCAGGTTTCACTTTGTAGTGTCTGGTCCACACTCAGTTCTACCTGCCCTGTGTCTGCTATTCCGTTCTCCCAGCCAAAGATCTAGGCAGGCTCTAGTTAGACCTGTTCTGCCGCTACTGCCAGGCACAACCAAGCAGATCAGGCTTCATGGTCCAGCTGCAGTCCCTCTCTTTCCAGCCCAGTCCAGACTCACCATGCCAGGTAGATGCCTTCCTGGAGCTGGTGACAGTTTCTGCTACAAGCTAAATGGGGACTTCCTCACAGTGCTATTGGGGACTCTCTCTAGCCCCTCGACATTCTGTAAATCAAGACCACAGGGGCTGGCTGAGGGCTGGCTCTGCAGCATGTCAGAGGTTGGCTAAGGAGGGAGAATCTCACTGGGCCTTTGACTACAGAGGCAGGAATTGATCCCAAAAGGGAGGCACTTGGTGAACTCTAGGAAGTAGCTTACAACCAGGTTCACACCCAAGCCTATCCTTGAGACTTATGGATGGAGCAACCAGGCAAATAGAGGCTCACAAACTGTCTGTGTAGATGCTTAGAAGTTCTAATTTAGCATCAGACAGTTACATGGAATATTTTCTAACCCCCCCCCCCCCGTCTTGGCAGATATGCTTCCTAAAGTGGGGCTCAAATCTAGGGTTTACAGGCTCCTCAGAGGCTAGCCTCATCTGGGATAGAGGACACTAAGTGGTCCACTTATCTTACTTCTCCATCCCTGACTCCATCCAGCACCATGGGTGCCTCCCTTGGGCCATGTGCACACTACAAGTCATACAGTCATGTTCCATATGCACGCAATGCTCTTCGGGCCTCAATCTGAGTACATCTTCACTATAGCCCACCCTTGGGTGGGGACCAGGGTCTGTACGTATTTTGGAATCAGAATCAAGGCATTTGGACAAGGATTATGTTCCCTAGAAAATTAGGAGTTTACTCTAGTGTAGAAGCTGTGAGCTCCAGCTTTAATGTGCAGGGCCCAGAGCAGGGACCACATTTGCTAGAGAGGAGGACTAAAAATGCCAGCATCCTGACCGCAAACTCAGGGCTCTTTCTCACTATCAGTCATCTTGTCTCGTGTCTTAAAAGCCAGAAAACCAACAGGGACCAGCCTGTGAGTGCTCCAAGTGTGGGCTCTGGAAGGACAATGGACATCTGAGATCATCAAGGACACAGCCACCTCGGAGGCTTCTGAGGCCACCTCCCTCACTGTCTGTTTAGATACTTCCAGAGTTGCTGTTACTGGAGCCTGCTAAGTGCATCTCCTTGACCTCACATGTCAGAGAGCCAGGGAACCCATCTGCTTTGGTCTCAAACCTTATGACACTCCCTACTCCAACTCCAGGGTAGCACACATGTTCATACCACAATCAGGGGTCCCTGGGTGAGTTTTGTACTTCATGTTCTCTGCCCAGCAGTTCAAGGACTCTGGGTGCCATCAGCAGAACAGGGGTGGCAGTGAGGGTAAGAGGAACACTCTAGAGTCAGGTCAGGAGATTTGAGATGAGACTTGGTCTGTCCCAAACTGCCAGTATGTTCTTGGGCATGTCCTAAACTACTCGGGTCTTCATCTGAGGATAATCGCAATGCAGCTCACAGAGATACAAGATTCTCAGGACCTCAGGCTGCAAAGCTGTGGTGAGGGAAATGACAGCAACTTGTTTTGTGATCCTATCATTCAGAGAGCCCAGGGAGCTGTCTCACACCTAGGTGATGGGGGTGCTAAACTGATGGGATCAGCTGACCTTACCTCCTACCGCCACTGCCATGCAGTTACCCACGAAACAGCAGAGCCCAGGAAAGAAAGGTAGAGCTGGTTTCAGCCCTTTTCTTTACCATAGTTCAGGGAAGGAGGGGCACACCCCTAACTGGAAGCACAGGGCTGGTATCCAAAGCCCATGTATCTGAAGTCCCTCTTGTACCTGACTCTCAAGGCAGGCAGATCCTTTACTCCTGTAAGCCTCAGGTTTCCCGTCGGTAAGCTTGGGTAGACATACACTGCAGAGTCTACTGTTCTGTCCCAGGAGCAACATGACCTGGGGACATGTACCTCTGCAGACACTCTGTTCTACTGGATCATCACATTAGAATCTGTGATGGCCCTGTAAGGCCCAAGTGAGTCAATCCAGGACTCAATGTTAGATTGCATGGTTCACATCGGGGGGTTTACATAGTTCACAGCACCCCTGGCACAGTCCCCAGCCACAGTTGCCTCTCTCCTGTGGACAGAGCATAGGACAAGAGGGACTTTTAGGGAAAAGGGGAACCCTGTGGCTTGGAGGTTCGTGGCAGAGCTGGAACATAGTATACAGTTTGCCAGCAAATACATACTGAGTTGAGGGTAGTTTGGTTAATGCTCACTAAGAGTTCACTGAGTAAGCTTCTTGGTGTTTTTCATATTTTAACTCAGTCACTCTCACTCAGTGTGGCCCCACAAGACAGGGTCTCTCAGGACCCTCATTTTTAGAGATGATGAAGCTGATGTACAGAGAGGCTATGTCACTTGCCTAAAGCCACCCCGAGATCAAGGGCTTGGATTTGAATCTGGAAGTCCAATCTTGGCTCTTCACAGTTAACCACTGGGCTATTAGCCACAAAGCAAAGGCCAAAGAAGACACATATCTTCAAAATGCCTTCTGCTTAACCCGAAGAGACAACACGGCAGATCTCTGAAAATCTGTGCAGCCTGTGTGTGGGGTGTGTGTGTGTGTGTGTGTGTGTGTGTGTGACAATGACAGTCCTGTGACAGTCTTAACCTTTCCTTCCTTTAGTCATTCAAGTGTCTGTCCCTCTGAAGAACCCCCACCCCCAAGCCTTTATAGACATTAAGTTCCCCATGCTTTGGAAGAGAGAGAGTCTGATATGGAGAAGGAAGGGACTACGGCCCCTCATCAAAATGCTGACTCCTTGGGGAGCATAAGGAGGCCCCCCATCTCTCAGTGCCCTACTAGTTAGTGGGTCATGTCTATCCCCATAATGAACTCACAGCTGTGGTGAAATCCTCCTCTGAAAAGTGGGGACTTGTATTTAGAGAGGCTTGGTGATGTCCCCAAGGCCACAGTTAGGAGAGCAGGGCCCTCCTAAGGGAGTATACCGAAGAGGGCATTCACTCTAAACCATGCCAAGGCTGGCATCACTGTCACACACTGAGAGGGACAGGAACACAGGTGCTCTTGTCCCCATGGGGAGTCCTCTGTGTGAATTTGGCCAATTATTTATTGGGTGCCAGAGTGTTCCTCTGTTGTCATGGAAGAATGTTGTGTGGTGGTTCAGGGGACTCGGCTGCCACCCCAAATCTGCACTCCACCATTCTTCCATGGAAATCTGTGAACACTGGAACAGGCAGACCTACACTGAGAAGAATTACACTGAGTCCCCTGCCTCTGTGGTTGCCACTGTTCTTTGCCCTAGAGTAAGACTCCCAGACTGAGGGACAACTGAATTGGCCATGTTCTTGTACTCAGATCTCTAACCACAGGCTGCCCATGAGCCTTAGTGGCAAATTCTACAAAAACCCACTCATTGTCAAGAAGTCTGGGATTTCAGTTGAGCAGGAGATCAGTGACCTCAGGCTCACCACATACCAGGCCATGGGACTTCCCCCCTGTGATGACACAGGTAGCCTGTTTATTTAGGGGGAGGGTGAGCTTGGTTCCAGACTCTGGTCTGGACTCAGAGTCTGCCATCATCTGCCAGCCTGGCTTGCCAGGGACAAAGAAGGGTTCTCAGATATAGGATACCCCTCTGAAACTAGGCTAGCCCCTGGAAACCATTCAGGATGGAATAAGTTCGGTACTAAACAGAGGCAGTGCTTGAGCCAGTAGTGCTAACCAACCTGGAATTGCCACTTAGGAGCTGTGTGAATGCTATCTGACCCTGTGCAAATGTCTTAACTTTCCTGAGCCATGTGTACTGTAATGACATTGTCCTTGGCTCCTAGACACACTGTGAGCATCAACTAGACAAACTCATGGGAAACCCCATCACAGAATCTAGCATGATGCATGGTAGAGACCCAGACCATTATTAATATCAATTGTCATAAAGTAATTAGTAGCATTAGTTGTGAACAATACATTTTCAGACAAGCCCCAATCTATTTCTTAACTCTATAAATTTATATAAAGGCAGAAGGTCAAGAGGGGGCCCAGCAAGGATTCCAGATCTATCCATCCAAACCATCCCTCTGAGAAGAAATCTGTTGAGGAGAGACTTAAGGTTTAAAATGTTCCCCTCCTAGATGCAGTGGGCAGCACCTGCTTTAGCAGCATGCTCAGATCCAGTTCATGAACTTTTTCTCTACTGTTTGCATTCGTGGACCAGGCCAGCCTGTCTTCAGGGGCAAGTCACTGCAGCCCAAGCCAGGTTCTGCCAAGTTGGCTTGCTGGACAACCCTGCCTCCAGTAACTTTCTCTGCTCACCTATGTCCACACTGGACGCTACAAAATAGAGCTCCTGGATCCTGGCGCTGGCTTGTCTGCCTATGCACAGCTGATTTCCTGTACCCCATGCCTGTGACACCTTGTTGTCTCATGGTGAAGGAAAATCAGTTCCCAGGAGGGTTTAGAGCCAAATGAAGCAGGAACAGACATTGGTGGCTCTTGACTCCATCTTCTAAGCTACATCCTAAATGCCAAGAAGACTTGGCTGTCACCTAGCTTCTCCTGTCTTAGTCCCTGGAGGAATCATGTGTGGGACCGCACATGCCCACAACTAAGATTAGTCTTCCCATGACAAAGGATATAATTATGATAATTTCCCCCAGCTAAGCACAGAGGTCCATCTCCGGGGTGGTTCTGTATTCTATCAGGTTGACAATTAACACTGACCATCACAGCAGATGAGCCCCAGAGGCAGGGAAATAGCTCCTGCAGGACCAATGATGATAAAGATAAGAATAAAAGACAACACACAGAGCGTAGCCCTCCAGGACTGTGCAGGGGAATCAGTGAGTGACATAAACAGCAAGAATATGAGTACTTGTCTATTTGTACTCATTGTGTTATTCATTTGTACACTGGGATGTTTTCCATGTCTTTATATGTGATAACTGGTTTTAAATGTCAGCTTGCCACAACCTGGAATTACCTGGGAAGAGCATTTCAGTTGAGGAATTATTTAGACTGGATAGGCCTGTGGGCATATCTATGGGGGATTGTCTTGATTCATTGACATAAGGGTGGCACCATTCCCCATGCAGAGGGCTCTGAACTTGTGGCAGGAGCAAGCTAGAGGTATAAGCAAGCAGGCAGCATGGTTTTGTTTGTGTCTCTCTTCTCTGGATTGTAGATGTAATGTGACTAGCTGCTTGAGCTCCTGCTTTTCACCAAATAATAGGCTGTATCATGAAAGTGTGAGCCAGATAAACCCTTTGTCTCTCCTGAGTTGCTTTTGGTCAGGGTGTTTTATTAAAGAAACAGAAAGGAAACCAGAATACTGTACACAGTGGGTTTAATTCTGCAGGCAATGCCATTTAATATCATGTTGCCTTATGTCGTCTATAAGAAAGCACATCGGTAAAATATGGCATACGAGATATTACACTACAAATAATGACCTCGGCAATGTCATGCAGCTTGCCCAAGAGCACAAGACTGGACCCCAGGTCTTTGGTTTCATATCCACAAGCCTGGAATCCATTGTTCATGTTGATGAGTAGCACCTCCCTGTGTCCTGGCCATGCCACCCCATGGATTATCTTCTCCCCTCTGTCCCATGCAGTGTGAGGGAACGCTGTTTGGAGGAGCAGAAGCGGAGGCGACAGCGTGCCACCAAAAAGATCAGCACCTTCATAGGGACCTTTCTCGTGTGCTTTGCCCCCTATGTGATTACCAGGTAAGCCACCTGTGCATGGGGCCAGGGCTTGGAGGGCCAGAGTGGGCCCCTCTTTGCCACATCTCTCCCGAGAACATGACAGGGTGTGAATGAACACTTGTATGATTCTCTTCCACCTCTGACTCTCCCTTATCAATAACAGACTTATTTTTATTTTTAAGTATGTGTCTGAATATGTATGTGTCTGTGTTTGTGTTTGTGTCTGTGTGGGAGTATGTACAGGTGAGTGGAAGTGTCTGTAGAGGCCAGAAGAGAGCTTTAGATTCTCTGGAGCTGGAGTTATAGTTAGTTGTGAGCTGCTAAGAACTTCTTAGATAGTTGCCTTCTTAAGTAGTCTGAACTTGTAGCCACTGAGCTATCTCTCTTGCCCCTTATTAAGACTTTTACTGCCCATAGTTACCAGCACCTTGTGATGATTCAATACAGGTATACAATTGGCACTAATCAAGTCAGTATAGTTCCTTTAACAACTTTAACAATTTTGGTTACCATATAATCACTGCAGAAAACCTATGAGGCACTATGTAAAATTACAGTACATGTATACAATGTATGATGATCAAGTTAGGCTAATTTATTCTCCGTCTCCTTGCCATTACTGTGTGTTTGGAGCCTCTTAGTGCCTCTCCATTTATTATTGATAACATATGTAACAGGTTGTGAACTGCAGTCTTCCACTGGGCTGTAGAATATGAGAACACTTGTCTATTTTAACGCCCATTATCCACTGTCTCTCCATCATCCCCTTCATCCTAGCTCCTGGGCATCACTACTGCATATTCTGATGAGATTTTCAAGGCATGTTTTTATGAAAGAATATGTTACATGTACTCTTCCCACCAGCCTGGCCCCAGTGCCGCATCAGCCCCAAATAACACACACTCTATTAGTTATAAGGCTGTTGGTCAATGAGGGCTTCTTATTGGCTAGCTCTTACTTTTTATCTCCCCCCTTCTTTTTTTTTTTTTTTTTTTTTTTAACAATCTAAGTATTTCCATGTGGTCTTATCATACTGGAGAAAGGATCTGGACCTGTTACTCCTCTGGGGTTCTACATCTTGACTCCTCTGCCTACATTTTTCAGAATCTTCCTCATCTCCTAGACCCACCTATCTTGCTTCCCTGTTGGCCAACAGTGCTTTATTCATCAAATGATAAGACAAACATATACAGAAGACATCCCCATCAAGAAAAGATGGCACCTGTTTGAGTTATTTAATCATGTCCTCTGGTTTCACCCATTTGTCCGAACTATCCTGTTTCATATCTATTCCACATCTTCTTTATGTGTCTGTTGCAGCCCTCAGGTTGGTTTCTGCCTTAGCTGCTATGAACGTGCATGCAGGTATCTGTGAGAGTCTCATTTTGTTTCTTTTGGTCATATACCCAGAAGTGGGCCAGCTGTTCTATGATGGATCTATGGGGTTTGGAGAAAACCTTTGTGCTGCTCTCCATGGATTCTTACATGTTAAACTCAATACTCCACAGTAGACGACTCTTCACTTGATCTCCAGATAACCTCATTCTAACTCTTCACCCCACACTCATACTCCAGGAGGTACTGACCAGAAGAAACAGAGAGGAAAGATGGAGGGAAGTATCGTACAGTATGGGGTCTCCCTGTGCTGGGTAGCCCGTGAACAGTCTACTTCAGCAATACCTGCCACTTGCATAAAAGCAGATACTTCTCTCTGCCCTTCCAGGCAGGCCACCTCTCCTGTGGCTGCACTATTAGCCAGTGACTACCAGTTTTTCCTCTTCTCAGAGCCAGGCAGGCCTGTAGTTTGCTGGCACCAGGAACCAGCATTCCTCAGACTAGCCTGATCCAGCTGTGACAGTACACCGTGCTAGTTTTAGTAAGAAAGAAAAGGAGGGAGAAAGAAAGAAAGGGATTGCCACCCCCACTTCTCCCTCCCAAGCTCCATTGTGGACTGGTGTGGGCGGTGTGGTATCCCACAGCTTTGTATCCTGAACAGTTCTATGATCTGTGAAGTTGGGAGATCACAAAGGACAGCCGTTCTATTAAGACTTGGAGGTAGGAGCTTTGATTGAATCTGGGAAATGGTTTCCTCTGGGCATGAGTGTGTGTGTGTGTGTGTGTGTGTGTGTGTGTGTGTGTGTGTGTAAGAGAGAGAGAGAGAGAGAGAGAGAGGAAAGAGAGAGAGGGGGAAGGAGAGAAGAGAACACTGTAGGAGTGCAGATGGCCTTCACTGTCACTCAGCCTCCTGTTGCCCCTGAGTATGATGACTGTGACCACCCTCTCTGCTCTCCCCACTTGTCCTTACACAGAGCCCCCCAGCCTGGTTGCCTATACTTCCATTCATGACCCCAGCTTTTTCTTCAGGCCAGAAGCCACAGTACCCACAAGAACATATAGACAGGCAGAGGGGGAGCCTTGCTCACCTCTCTAGCCCCCTCCTCTCTTCCTCAGACAGCCCAGGCTTATGTACACTGCTACCCACTGCCTTCCATGGTGTGCATTTCGTCGTGAGCAGCCCAAATCAGCCCATCTCTCACTTGGACACAGGATTTGGAGCTATGTATTTGGGTCCCTGGGTGCTCTGACCATGGAACAGGGCAGAGCTGTTCATTCTTCCTTCTGGATCTATGCACTAGACCTCAGTACTGGTGCTGTATTGCATACAGATGACTTGGCAGAGAGGGGCTGTCCTAGGCATTGTAAGATGTACCATGGGTTCCTTAGTTTCAACAATCTGGATATCAGGAACACCTCTATCTTTCCCCAATGTCTCTAGTTTGATAACTAAGTCTCCAGATATTGCCAAGTGTTCCTGGGGACCAGATCATCCTGAATGAAAAACAATGGCATAGACCCATACCCCATCCAGGAAGCCAGAGCTGGTTCAGCTCAGGATTCTGCATAGAACTAACACAGAGGAACAGAAAAGCCTTCTCAGCACTCCCAACCCTCCTGCTATGCAACTTTGGATTGTTGCCTTCACCTCTCTGGGCCTCCAGAAGACAGTGTGGCATCCTGGGGTTAAAGGCTATGGAACACTAGTGTGTGACACAGACATGCCCATATGGATTCTTGGGCCATCATCCCTCCCTGACACTGAGACTGAAGGAGATCTAGCCATCCAGGGAATGTGGGTGAGAAAGTATCTAGAGACCCTTCCTCTTAGACCTCAGGGTAAAGGGAAGTCATGGACTGAGGAAATGAACTTGAATCCTCAGAGAATAAGTAATAGTAATATGACTTCTACTTTTGGCAGCTAGGCTTTTCTCCAACAATCTCATTTCCTAGTTATTCTCTCTTTCGCTCTCCCTCTCTCTCTCCCTCTCCCCTCCTCCTCCTTCTCCCTCCCTCTTGTTCCCTCTCCCTTTCTGTTCCCTGCCCCTTTTAATTATAGTTCACTTCCTTCTAATATTGCCACAGCAATAGTGTTTCAGTCAGATTGCTAGCAGATTCAAATGGAGTTAATATAATTGAGTTTTAAAAAACATTCACAAAACTGTGCATCCTGCATGAGGATAAGCACCATTTCCAGGGGAAAAAGGGCCTCACTTCTTCCAGTATAGAACCCAGATCAGGGGAAGCCACCCTACCCCATCTGACCTCTTAACCACTGTCTTCTCTATGTGTATGGAGAACTACCCGCAGGCAAATCTCTCATGACAGCACTCATGCTCACCTCCTATCACTTTGCCGAACATGTTTCTAGCACCTTCTCTATGCTGACTATGAGAGTTCCCCTGAAGATGAAGGATGAATTGAAGAGAACCCCCAAGAGTCCCCTGGTAGGAACCCTGACCCTGCAAATAGAGCCTGTAACTAGACAGACCCATTCAATCAGGCTTCCAGGGCTTTGAGGCAGAATGGAGATTCCTGACTAGGCTAATGGGCAAAGCCTGTGAAGTGGGTGTGGCCATGTGGGTGTGAGGAGGAGTAATAACTGAAGCAGGCGGGACAGCATGAATGGGGTCTAGAGTGGTGTTTTCTAGTATGACAGCCACCAGACATGGGTGGCTGCTGAACACTTGAAATTTGACCTGTCCAAATTAAGGTGCACCTACTTCAGGTTCATAACTTCCAACACTTAACATAATAAAAAAAATAATACAATCAATTCTTCTCATAGCAATTCCATATTGGGATAATAAGTACAATAAATTTAAATTTATCTGCTGCGTGTGTGTGTGTGTGTGTGTGTGTGTGTGTGTGTGTGTGGTGTATGTGTAGGTGCATGTGTGTGCATGTGTGGTGTGTGTGTGTGTGTATATGGGTAGATGCATTGTGTGTGTGTGTGTGTGTGTGTGTGTGTGTGTGTGTGTAGGTGCATGTGTGTGCATGTGGAAGCCAGACTTTAGGTGTTGTTCAGACACTGTCTACCTCTTCTTTTTGTGTGAGATCTCCTAATGGAGGCCTGGCATATATCTGTTTCACAGTCATGCAGCTCCTCTAGGGTCAGTTAGACTGTTCCTGGAGTGACCAGGCAGGGTCTTCAGGGCCACTGCACATTCCTGCCCACAGGCTCTTGGGAAATATTTTCAGAATTAATGTTCGCATGCCTTCAAGTGATTGTAAGCCTATCATCTGTGTAGCAATCTATACTTACAAATAATTACAGTTGTCGTAAATCATCAGGATCACGTTTGGAGGCATTTGCAGATCTGATGGCCCCATTATTATAGCTTTCTAGTGTAATGGAATGATGGCAAGGGGAGAGGGGTTAATGTGCAGGTGGCTCCTGACTGTTAACGTTCTATTAATAAATGACTCCTCCACTCTAATGTCTTATGAAAGCTTAAAGCATCCGCTTAGAGCTCTAGGCCTTCACATATGCAGACATATGCAGATCGAGTCTCCAGAAGCCTTGAGGATAACTGGGCTATTTTCCCAAGCAATGTTCTGTGACTTATATTGCACTTTAATGCATTCTCTCTCTCTCTCTCTCTCTCTCTCTCTCTCTCTCTCTCTCTCTCTCTGTGTGTGTGTGTGTGTGTGAGTGTGTATGTGTGTGTGTGTGTGTGAGTGTGTGTGTGTGTGAGTGTGTGTGTGTGTGTGTGTATGTGTATAGAATGTTGCAAGGAGAGACAGAAAGACAGGGTCAGAAACAGAGGAAGACCAAAGGCGAGAGGAGCAGTGATGGGCAGAGGAAGCATAAAGCGGGGGCCTTAATGTGCTGCATTATCTTCAGTATTTGAAATCAAGGGTGTCAGATGCACTCACTGTAAAACTGGAAAAGTGCAGGCTGAAGCAGCCTGGAGCCAGGAAGCATGCGGTCTCTGGTACCCAAAGCCCTGGGTTCAAACACCGTCTTTCCCACATCTGGACCATATGACTAACACAGAAACTACCTTGATCTTATCTTTCTGTGTTAGGGGGACTAATATAAAGATGGGGAGCTGGAGGTGCTGTCTGAGAAGCATTGAGGTGCTGAGCCCCAGGCTACTGAGAGCTAGTGTTCAGTCACTGAACCTCTCACCCAGAGCTTCCCTCCCTGAAGACTCCCATTGGGAATGGGTCTGGACATTACTTCCTCCAGGACCCAAAGTGCCTCAGAATTCAGACAAGTGTACCTCCCCATCCTCCAAGGACTGGGGTGGCTCAGGCTGTGAGTAGTGTGAGAATCCCTTATGGGTAAGGGCAAGGTAAGAAGCTCCCTGTCTAGTCAGAGTGCTGCCAGCAAGCTTCATACCAAAAGAGAGCCACAGTTCAGAGAAGTCCAATATACACAGAGACATGGACAGGCACTCAGAATTAAAGAGAGCTAGAGTTCAGAGTAGTTCAACATACACAGAGGCATGGGCAGGCATGCAGGATTAAAGAGAGCCACAGTTCAGAGAAGTCGAATGTACACAGAGATATGGGCAGGCACACAGGACTCAGAGGGATATAATCTGTGGATGTCACATGTGTCTACCATCTCATTCAGCTGTAACTATGAAACCTTGAAGCATTTTAAACTCCTAAAAAACATACATGCACATACAAACACACACACACATATGTACACAACACACATGGTATATATGCAAGCGATACACCTGACCCACATATGACCCACATGTACATAACTCATTCACCCATATGACAAACATGCATAAACATGTACAAATATATACACAATGTATATATGCATACAACACAAGGTACACATGCACATGACCCCCACACACACACTATGCACACATTTAAACAACACAGACACACACATGAATAATAAACACATGCCTCATGTGTGTATACGTATACATTCAGGTGACACGATGTACTCACATGCACATAGCACACATATGCACATACAAACAAATATGCTCACAATACTTACATGCACACAACACATGACATGCATGCATGCCCAGCACAGAAGCACATACATTAATATGATGCACATGTACACATAACACACATGCTTATAAGACATACACACACAGTCATTTACACAGTTACATAGACAGATGCAGGTTGGGTCCTTGATCAGACTTCTATAAAGGGCTCAAATGCTTTCTTCAGAATGGCCTGAAATGTTTGGAGAGGCAGACCCCACCTCTCAGGCATCTTGCTGAGTGGTGTGGACTCTCTGAGAGGATAAGATTAGGAATGGGGGGGTATGCAGGATTGATCTGCATGACTTTTGAGCATACAAATGTAAGTATCACTAAGGCTGGAGCCTTCGGGCAGGCACAGGTCTTTTCTAGTTCACATCATAGGGAAGCATATGAAAACTCCTTTGTGTTTAGTGAAAGGTAAGGGCATGTGGCAGGAGTGGCACTTGTGGGACAAGCCTGTTTGCTGGGGAGTGAGCCATGCTGCTCCAGAGGTGTCAAACTGTAGAAGTCCCACTTTCTCCTTGTCTTATATGGGGTCTGGGAACAGGGTGGAGATCTGGTTGCATTTCAGCATTGTTACAGCCAAGGACCCCAGAACACCCAAGCAACCTAACAGTACCTCCATATCCCTGTGGGGTTCTTTTGGGTGTTTTGGAGTATTGTGGCTACCAGAACTGAGTACCATACCAAGGAGCTTAAACAGCAGGAATACATCCTCATGTCTCCTTGGCCAGAATTATGTGGAGCCAAATCTGCTTTGTGTTCACTTGAAGTTCTCCTTTGTCCGGGGCCTGCCAGAGGCCAGGCAGACATTAAAGAAGAATTTGTCACAGGTTTCAGGGGGAGGGACAAGAGACAAAGGTTTAATACAGCCAATCATGATTTTATGGGAAGGGCCTCTTGGAGATGAAAGTGTTCACAATGCGGGTCTCAGTATGGCCTCTAACCAAGCTTGTGCTTCATGGTACGAGACCCTGGATTGCTGTGCAACCTCTCTGGACCTCAATGACCTTATCTATAAGATGGAAATGAACTTCTCTGCAGGTCACTGTGACATGAGAAAGTGCAAAAGAGACACTAACTGGAAATTATCTGAAGAGGTTCAGACCTCAGATAAAGTTTTGGGGAAGCAAATGCTATAACTTTACCCTACATAGCCCCCAAGTACTACTTTTGATCTTTCTGGGTAGTTCGATAATATATCATTTTAAAAAATTCTTTTGGGTCTAGAAGAAAACCACAAAGAGCAATGTGTTTGCCACATAAGGGTAAGCAAGTCCTGATTTCAGATACCAGAACCCATGTCAAAAGTTGGGTGGAGTAGCTGATGCTTATAACCTCAGCAAGGACAAAATGTGTGGTGGAGTCAGCCAGATTCCTGAAAAGTTGCTGGCCAGCTATCCTAGCCAACTTGGTGAGGTTCCAGCCCAGCGAGGAAGGAACACACCAAGGTCATTCTCTGATTTCCATTAATTCATTCACACATTCATGTGTGTACCTACATATACACATAAATACACACACACATACACACACACACACACACACACACACACACACACACGTATTGGGGAAAGCCATGATGCTAGGACAAATCTTAACAATATATAGAATATACAGGGCATTTGGGAGACATGATTTGGCATCACATAACACGCTGGATAGTTTTATGTCACCTTGACACAAACTAAAGTCATCTGAGAGAAGGGAGCCTCGATTAAGACAATACCTCCATAAGATCAGGCTGAAGGCAAGCCTGTAGGGCATTTTATTAATTAGTGGTTGATGGGAGAGTATAGTGACATCTTGTTTGTACTCTTAACAAATAAAGCTTGCCTAGAGATCAGAGTGCAGAGCTAGTCAGTAGTTAACCATAGAGGTCTGGAGGTCTGTATAGACAGACAGGAAGTGAAGGCAGGAGGAGACAGGAGCTTGACTCTTTCTCAGCTCAGAGGTTGGCAGGGTAATAGGTGACTGTGGCTTGCTCCACTTATCTCATGATCTTCCAGTATTTACTGTGATATCTGACTCTGGGTTTTTATTATTAAGACTAATTAGAACTTATGCTACAAGAGAGTGCCCATCCAATTATGGGTAGTACCATCTCTGGGCTGGTGGTCCTGGGTTCTATAAGAAAGTAGATAGAGCAAGACATAAGGAGCAAGCCAGTAAGCAGCACCCCTCCATGGCCTCTGGATCAGCTCTTGCCTTCATGTTTCTGTCCTGTTTGAGTTTCTATCCTGACTTCTTTTGATGTGGAAGTATAAGCCAAATAAACCCTTCCCTCCTCAACTTACTTTTCAGTAATGGTGTTTTATTGCAGCAATAGAAACCTTAGCTATGACACAGGGCAAGAGTGAGCTAGCATTTGGATATTTCATTAAGTGTGAAATGTAAATTTTGGGCTTTGTCTCTTTTAATTCATCACTTGTAAAACATAGATTTTTAAAAAGTGAGTATTTCCCTGATGCTCACAGCTTCAGTTCCTCATTCAACCTGTCAATGAAATGAGGAGAAAAGTAGCCTCGGTTCTCCACAGTATTAAAGGGCAAGGGCAAAGAGTGATGCTGAAATGACAAGGCAAAGACTGTGGTCTCATTATGGACTCAGTGGAGATCCACTCAGGACGAGGTCCTGTCCTTCCTTCTAACTACTCTAAGGTCCATCATGCAACCCCAACCCAAAGAGCACATAGGAAAACTAAATTACGCTCTGTAGCTCTTGTCTCTGAGCCCCCTTCCAGGCAACCCACCATGCTGCAAACCCACCCCTGGCTGCTCTCCTGGAGATGTTCCAGATGGTGGCCAGCTACCAGAACCTAGCTAGAAGCAGGCACTAGGCTTAAACTTCTCTCCTTTCTGAATCTCAACTTCCTCACTTTACAATGGGTGGAGGAGAGGTGATTTAGTGTCTCTAAACTCTCTAAGGTTTTTTGACCTTATGCTAATGCTAGATACTTTCTCAAGGTTGACCAGTGGGGCTGGGAACACTTGGAAGAAAGTAAGATTAGAAGTAGGAGCAGGATCCTTACTGCCCTTGAAGCCTGGAGTCTGTACCACTCAGTTACCAGGAGGACTGAATTCTTAAACATGTAGGATGGATATATCTTCCCTTTCTCTCCTCAGTAGATGAAGGTCACTTTCAGATCCCCTGACTGCTACTATTGGCAGAGGCCACCAGGACCCCAGTCCTAGGAAGAGCTCTTCCTCACTGGCAGATGCTCTACTGGAGCTTTGCTGAATGTTTGCCAAGTTTTTTTCTCAGCCCTCTCTCCTCCCTCTGCCTTCTCGGGAAGGCAGAACTGAATTTGTGGCAGAGCCAAACCAGACTCTCATGCATTAAAAGATCACATAAATAAGCCCATCTAACTTCCTTACTCTTCAGACAAGACATGCAGGCCTACATAGTGTAAAGACTTGTCTGGGGTCAGACACAGACTGGATCTGGCTTTAAATCCTGCCTTTACAGTTGCTTGTCTTGATGAGCTTGGGAATATGAGGTTGCCATGTCTTCCAGATTTCCCTACAGTAACCTATGTGCACAGCTGACACAGAACTTAGAATAAATACCCAACCAATTCCCATGACCATCATTTTTATTGGTGGGCATCATTATTGCTTTCGTGGTTACCTGGCATGGTTACATGCCCCTAACACATACCCACAGCACCCACAGTGACACATTCTCATCCTTCCATAGGCTGGTGGAACTCTTCTCCACAGCACCCATTGGCTCCCACTGGGGTGTGCTGTCCAAGTGCTTGGCCTACAGCAAAGCTGCATCTGACCCCTTCGTATACTCCTTGCTGCGACACCAATACCGTAGGAGCTGCAAGGAGCTTCTGAACAGGATCTTCAACAGACGCTCCATCCGCTCCCGCTCCGTGGGCCTCACAGGTGACTCACACAGCCATAATATTCTGCCAGTGTCAGAATGAAGAATGGCACTCCTGTTGGGGAGTTCAGAATGAGGTGAACGGAGCAAAGGGCGGTGGTCTGGGACTGCTGGGTGGACATTAACTGCCACCATTTCCTGGTGATTGCAATGATGTTGATGTCTGGACAAGTTCTGGGGCCTGCTTCTTGGTCCTTCCAGGGTAGATATTGTACTGTCCCATCACCAAAGATGGCTGTGGGCCATGTCCTGACCTTTGTTTCTGGGAGTATGTTTTGACAGCTTAGACTCGCCAAAGGCCTCCAAAGGATGGTAAGCTAGTCACTGTCAAGGACACAGAGTGCTGGTGGCAGGTATAGGGCATAATACCCACCTGTTTGCTAACCACTGGTCATGGGGCTCCATGCTCCAAGGGACATTTCAGTGATGCTGAATGTGAAGGCTGGTTGTGGCCATCTGGCCTCAGATCTAATATGGCATCTCTTTTCCCCTTGGTAGTGGTGGCTGCTGTAACTCAAATATTATCTAGCTGGTGCCAACTACCTTATGCTCAACTGATACCCTTGGGCTCTCTGCACTCAATGGGAAAGTGTCTAACAGCTAGTTTGTTGCTGACCAATTGTCTGAGGAATGATAAATTGGATTCAACTTTTGTCCCTCTTCCAACAAACAAACAAATGTTTGTGTGTATTGACAATCTTAGCATGAAAGCGGTCTCAATAGACAGGTAATAGATAATGTGAGATTCTCTGAAATCTGAGAAGGAAGTCACCTTCTTCTGATTTGCATGCCATAGCTATGAAAGTCCAATAAAGCAGGAACATGGTATCTGGTCTATCCTACCTCCCCAGCTGGGGTCTGAGTTGGTAGGAAGTACTCCCTCTTGTTTTAGACATCTTGCCCATCATAGCCTGTGATGTGGATGCACAGGAGCTGACTTGAACAGGGTTGCAGTCTTAGTTTTCAGATGCTGGGTACCATTATCCTGGTGGCTCATTACCTTCATTCTGTAATTCTGTCCTGAGAAAGCAGGGGCTATTCAAGGTCCCCACAAATGTGCGCTTTTTTGCCACTGATGAGAGAGTGCAATTATTATAGGATGCTGTTCCTATAATATGCATGCCAGTCCTTTGGGAGCCATTGTCTTAGTCTCATTAAAATGAAGATAAGGACTGCAGAAACAGCTTAGCCAGTAAAGCGCTTACTGTGCAAGCATGAGGCCCTGAGTCTGACCCCAAGAATCCACAATAAAAGCACACTGGTCATGGTGGCATGTACCTTTAATCCTAGTGCTGGAGAAGAGAGAGAGGTGGCTACCCAGGGCTCAATGTTCAGCCAATATGTAGCTGAACTGGTGAGTTACAAGCCAGTGATATATCTCAAAAACAGGAAAAGAACAATGTAGATGGCAGCTGAGAAACTGACACAAACACACGGCTCATACCTTCCTCCCATCTTATCATTTCAGACTGACTTGAGAATGCTCAGAGCAGTTGTTTCTCATCCCTATAAAGGACTCTTCTGAAGGATCCTTCTTTCCTTATAATTCCACACATCCTAGTCTCGGAAGAACAGAGGAACTAGCCACCAGGGACCAACTTGAAGAACATTGATTTTCCCTGCCAGGCAGCCCCAGTAGATAAAAGCAGAGAAACGTCTGCTTGTCTGTTTGAAAAGATGGCCTATCATTAACTTTTGGCAATTCATTTAGAAAACAACTCCACCAGGCCTAATGTTATCAGGCTTCAGAGTTTCCATGGAGACAGTTGAAACATCTAAAGAGGCTTTAATATCTTCCCATTGCTGGGAAAGTTGTGTTCCCACCTGACATGTTAGAGAAAAAGAATCTGGGGTCCAGAGGGGACTCCTCAGGATACTTGTTTGGACTTTGTACCTGTTTCTCCCCACCCAATCTTCTGAGGGAGTTGGTGAGATACATGCTTCCCTCCTGTGATAAGGGATGTCACATAGGTAGCTTGAAATTAACCACGGTGGAAGTCCTTATACACTCAGAATAGCTAAGTGTTATAAATCAGGTCTTTTCCCCAGAGCTGGTTGTCACCCATCTACCAGTACAACATTGCCACATAATTTTCTGGGACAAAACTGTCCTGGTTCAGAGTTAATTTGGTTCCATCAAGTCCAAATCAAAGCAAACAGTTCCAGTGAGGAGTGGCTGTATCCACCCTCTGTGGTCCCAGCACTCAAAGTGCTAGGGGAATACAAATCAAGCCTGGGACCAGGACACCATGCACAAAATAATCTCCCTTTTCACACAAATACTGGTAAAGTTGGGCTAAAAGGAGTGGTGACCCAGAGGGAGAGGTCAATAGACAAGCAAAGGCAAGTAGGGACATCCACTTCTCCCATGCTGGTTTAGCGGGAGACTAACCTTACAAATCCTTTCTCCGCTTGCTCTGTGTAGGCAACATATTGCACCCTGAGTTGCAACGAGATCACTTTGTCCCTTCTCTAGCTAAGAAATAGGAACTGCCACCCACGACACCACTTATCCGGAAGGATGTATGCTGTAATTTTCACTATGCCTCTAAAACTGCTTACCATCTAATAAAACCCATTATACTGGCATCATGCCATTGACAAGAACCCCGGACAAGCCCATTGATGGAGAGTTTTCATTATCACTTAGACACAGGCTTGAAAACCCAAGGGAAGTGAGAAGGAAGCGCCTCCATTGGCAATGGGCACCAGTCAATGCTGCAGCAATTGCCTCCCCATAAATGTTTATAGTCAGCCTGCACGTCTCTAAAACACACTCCCTGTGGTCACTGTTCCCACTTGAGTAATCTACCTCATTCTGGAGATTTAATTAATCAAACAACATGTGGTTTTCTCAGGTGGGAGGTATATAAAACAAGAGTCCGTCCCCCAAGGTAGAAGGTCTCAATGGCTTGTTTGACTCCCACTGGTTTACAGAGTCACATTCACAGCACAAGCACTGGAGAGCCACTGGGCAGGTGAAACCACTTTGTGAAGCTTGGGAGTAGTGCCTACAGGAGAGAGGCCTCTTCCAGATGCCAACTCCATTCAGAGGGCTCAGGTTCGATCTCACACACACTGCTTGCCTTTTATAATCTCTGCCCCAGTCTGCATTTTCCTTTCGTCCCTTCTAGGAAGGAGGTCAGGATCTCAGAAACCTGGAGACCCTGGGAATACAGGATGCTCGCTGAATGGCACAGCATTGGTATCTGGGTATCTTGCCAGCTCACCTCCCATAGATACTTATCTGTATTCAGTTAGGAGATGAACATGGCTGGGTGACCTCCTTGGCTTGTTTCCTACTGTGTTTTCTTCCAGGGCTCAGCTCAGGCCCTAACTTTCTGAGCAATTAACTGCTTGCCTTGTGTTTGAGAGGTATGGTTTTTTCTTCATGTGTCTCTGTCCTTGAGAGAAGGTAGACAGCATAGGGCCATGCCTATGTACTGGTTGCCACTCCCTCTCAGGCTTGGATGTAGGTAGTCAACAGTGCTTGGCTGTGATATGGTTGTTGGATGATCCCAAATGCTGTGTTTGACCTTAACACAGGGTTAAGTAAGTTGTCTGATTTTCCTGAGGTTGTTCTATAAGGTGCCAGAAACCTCATGGTCAGCTCATTTCCTTCAGCTCATGAACACCATGGGGAAAGATCTGGAGATTGTGAGGTTCTCATTGCCCTCCTAAGAATCTGTGGCTCTTAATGGAAACAGTGGCTATTAAACTTTCCCATCCCCAAGTGTCACCAGGAGAGGTGCTTCAATATGAATTCGTCTGTATTCTCTCTTTGGAGGCAAATTCAGGCAAGTGGGCAAGACTTGGGATTCTATGATCTATATATTGATGTTCAGGCAGCGGACTTAGGTGATATTTCAATGTTGTCCCAAACAGTGATAGCTCATCTGCAGGGACATAATAGGATTAGTGTTTTAAGGTGTTGAGGACCCCTTGTCAACCTGCATTTTTCAAGAAACACTGAGCCATCATCTCCATGAGCATCAGTAACATAAAGCATTAGCCTGAGACCTAAGTGAGGCTTCTCATTCCCTGAAGTGTTAGCACATAGAGATGATGTACAGAGCCTTTTGTAGAGAGGAGAAGGAGGATCTCTGTATCTCTGCATCTCCCATTTGCTCCTACAGGCTCAGCAGAGGAATCTGTGTGTGAGGAGCCTGGCTTGTAAGTACCCAACCTTCCCTGCCAGCTCCCAATTCTATTCAAGCTTCTCCTGCCTGTCTGCAGAAGCTGCCGTGGGGTAAGAGGTCTCAGCTCCTTCCCCTAGCACAGAGTGAAGCCCAGGAGCTGGACCCTTTGGCCAGTCAGCTTCCCAGAGGGGAGAAGCCATGGGTCCTGAGGAATGTGATTCTGAATATAGAGAGGACACAGCTGGAGATTAAAGTGATTTCTATCAGCCTGATCCAGACAGCAGAAGTCAGAGACTCTCAGTGCCTGAGGTCCAGAGAATGGGCTCCTGCAATGACATGCTGAGTGGCTGGCAGCTAAACTGGATCTGACCAAGAAATGTGGGAGTTCTCACCTGTCACCCCATAGTTCTGTAAGCCAGAGCCTCCTGTGCCATGTCCTCGGGGGCGATGAGTGTCTACGTGGGCCTAGGTTAAGGGTGTTGCTCAGCACTGTTTGTTGGAGATCCTGGAAGACTTTGCAGAGTCAGTGGGCTCTGAATGGCTGCTACAGCATGGGGTGAGACATAGGAGATGTGGACTAGCCTAGTAAACATTCAGTAGGGTGGGGCTTGGTGTGCATTCAGAAATGCTGTCCAGGGGGTGCTCTGAAGTGGGCAGTGCCTCCTCAGACACAGTGAATGCCATCTGTGGCCAACAGGGCCATGTTCTTGAAGTCAGAACAAAATTAAAAAAAGATGATAGGGAGAAAATCCACAGATATTTAGCTATCCAAAGAGAGAGCAAAAAAAGCAGAAGGAAAGAAAGGCAAAAGAAGGATGGAAAGGGGAAAGGGAAAAGAAATTACATTCATTTTGAAAGGATTGACACTTATTCTTTTTTTTTTTTTAATCAGTGCATTTATTGAGCTTACAGATCATGGATAACCCCC